GTACATTAAAACTTCATCTGATATACTAATACATAAATGATCTAGTAATATATATACTCAATTTATAATGTTTACAGCGAAATGAGAGCTGATTCAAGAATGAATAAGGGAATGAATACGCATAGTAAGAGCACTTCGAGAGCGAGGAGGCACAATTGAGAAGGCTTAAGAGAATTCATCATGTTCATTTCATAGAGCTACGATAATCAGGTCCATCAAAGGAGAAGCCGTTGAATGTAAAGAGAGTTCGAACTAGAACAACTAAGCCGACTTGGATAATCGATGAGGGCGGAAGATTGGAGAAAGAATAATTGAGGCACCAATGGAGTGGATTGCAGTTTGGAAGAACAGCTGTTGAAGACTTTCGACAGCCGTGCTGACTGTCCCAGCTAGACATCATGCTGCTTAAATAAGTACGCCGTTCTTTGCCCGGGTCGCTCTCTGCAACAGCCTTCTGGCATTCCTTCAATTGCTCATCGATTCACTGTAAATCAAGTTACAATGACTCATGGAGAGATAACGAGAAATCACTAAGAGAATAAGATAGATAGAGATACATTTAAAACTAATGTAACTTCCCTAATCTTGAAGACGACTTTGTCGTCAACCGGAAACAAGATCAATCAAAATCTAGGGCAAAACTGGAAACTGTTGTCTTGTGCATCAATCTTTTTCTGGGCTTGTTTAGAGAAGCAGCGAACTGCAGATGAGATACGGTGCTCCAACAACTCACTCATGGATGCTGCCAGAAGACTTCAGAGGATGAATAGACGACGCTTAAGTGCAATCAGTTCAGAATACTGGGAATCATTACCACACAGAAATTTTCCATTTCCCGCTTATGTTCCACCGCTGACTAGGAGACTTTGGCTAAGGGCTCTTTCTGCAATTCTAGATGCAATGCCACATATCTGACATTACAACTTTTAACCTGAAATAGCGTAGACGTCTAAGACGCACGTTCCAACTTCGTGATTGCATCACCGCACTGACCAACGCGGCGGGCGTTTCCACTGCCAGGATGCACAGCCGCAACGGCGGGCTCAAATCGAGCCGCGTTTACACAGTCCCAATTTGGATTGTGCCACTGCGGCGGGGCACCGTTTGGCGGAGGTGCGCTCCCAGTCGTGCGCGCGATCCGATTGATCTAATCGCTCCAGCGACCCAGTCGCGAAGTCTGAACGCGGTCTAAAAGTGCTTAGTACAGAAGCTCGGCAGAAGCTGCTCATCTACAAGCAATGAATGCTGACGCTACCTTTTCTGTTTTGGAAATGCCATATAGTTTCCGATCATGATGGTCATTTTGACACTGCCATTTCACTTATTCCGATACTGTGCCCCTAGGCATGCACTCTGTAATCAAGCTATTTCAAGACTGACGATGAGCCCTTCTCCCTCTGTCTTGAAAAAGAACCGACAATATCCGTGCTTTCTCATAGCGGACTGTAGAAGTGGACGAATTTTTGCTCCCGCTGCGGCCCTTAAAGTATGTACAGTGAAGCTGATCATTCCTTTCATGTAGAACTTTACATACATTCATATTAAACTTTGCAGATTATACATTATTTTTGATTTTAAAGGATTTTTGTGTAAAATTTTTTTGAGTTGTCCTTATTGTTGTTATTATTGGGTTGCCCTTGTGGTATTTTTGGGTTGTTCGTTATTTCTTTCTGCAGTAGAGTTGGCTCTACCGTAAGGGTTTCCTTGTTACTGCCTTAATTTTGTGACTTTTTTATCCAGAGCGCTCTGCAGTTATTGTCATTTATGTGGTGCTAAGCGTTTTGCAGAATTTCTTTCGTGTTTGGATCAATTTTTAGTGTCTATCAAATGTGATTGAATAAATAATTCATAGGCATTGTTTCCACTTCTACACTTTCAAAACGGTACGTCTATGCAAACGCTTGGGCGTTTCGGGAGCTGGCTTTGACGCGGCTCCAACCAGTTTCCACCGGGAGACGGACAAGAGAATCGTATTTGCCGCTCCGCCGCGCGCGGCGATGGGCGCGGCGTTTTCTTAACTCGTGTTAACCTGTCGATTGGAGCACCGGACTTCATGTAGACCCCGTCATCGTAGACATTCATGACTATTTTCGGTTCTGAATTGCCTGTTGTCGCCATCTACTACCTGGAACCATCGTCATTTGCGGGCGCGACGTCGCACGCGACGCCCACCAGCGCGGCGAATTACGATTCTCTTGTCACATACCCGTTTCCATCAGTTTTTGTCGCCTGCAGACACCCATATTGCTAGATTCGGCCCCCTGGAACGTCCCAGCTACCGCAGCGAACAAAAGTGTGCAAAAAATTCACTGAAGTTCTGTTTAGTTATGGAGGTTACTACACTGCCTTATAATGCATATGGCACTTTCGGCACCGGCGCCACCTTTTCCACCCTTTCGTTGCAATAGGGGTTAATCAGCTTCTCAAAAATGACCAATATTTCTCTTGTTTGCCCTTTTGCAAGGGGAGAGGACAACGAAGAGGGGGAAGCCTTGGGTGTATGCCGTTGGTCCTGTTGCGACAAACGGGGTGAGGGAATGCTGCAAACGTGGATGCATGCGCGGAACTCGCACCAAGGACAAATGCAGCGCTTTGCAACTACCATTAGAATGTATGAAAGAAAAGAGTGCTGGAGCGTGACCGACGAGTTTGCCAGGGCTGATCCAAAGACGGGGGAATCTGTGGTGTGGGGGTCCAGAGGGGAGGTAAAGATGAGGGTCGTCTTTCGACTGCAATATGTGCCGAAACAGAGGGGCTGGACTCGGCACGGCGCCAGCGCGTTCTCACCAACTGTTGAACCGGAAAAGCGACAACAGTAGGTGAAAAACGAGTTGGTGGTGAGCCTAATTCAGCAAGAGGCACGCAATGCATTAGTGATCTTTTTGAAAATACGATCACCCGCTTAATTCTATCCCAATCACTACCCTTCCATGTACCTACCACTTTCCGTTTTCCAATACTACATTTTTCCATTTTTTCCCGAAAAATTTCCAATTTTCTGCCAAGAATTTCCCGTCGAGCGGGGGTGGGGGAAGGGAAGGTCGTCAGGATTTCAACTATCATTTTCAACTATCGGAAATAGTAGTTGTATAGATCTTTGGCAGTCCCTCTCTCAACAACGGCCAAATACGACCCTCCCCCCTTATAGCGTCCGTGAAACAAGAGAAATCAAGCTGTCAAAAAATTTTCCTCTGACCTAAATACGACTCCCCCCCTCCCTCGCGGTCAAATACGACCCCCCCGCTGTGATCATCGATGGCGTGCCCTGTCGCAGCGAACAAGACCACATAAAAAGGAAAGTCGGTGGGAGAATACAAAGGGACAAGTTGCACGGCCCTCAGACATGCACCATCTGAGATGCGGAAAAATAGGGGAATCAGGAGAACTGGAGAATTCGCAACAACGACTGGAACGTGTTGTCGACTAATCTCCGCTTGTACGATCTCAACCTCGGATTCACGAATTCTCCAGTTGGGTGGAACCAGTTGAATCGTGGATGTGTGACAAGACAATCGAATACGCCGCGCTGATGGACGTGGCGAGCGATGCCGCGTCCGCAAAGAACGAGATGTCCCGCCCTGACGCATTGCGTAATACAGCCACGAACTACGGCTGCTTTTCCCGCTCCTTTCAGCCCAAATCCATCTAGACGTCTCAAGTTACATTCCTTAGTGACATAATCATTCGCATTTCAGTCACCACTGCTTTTTGCAGGTTCGTCGAAGGCACTACGTCTGAACCTTTCCCTCACTAGTCCGTGCTAGCAAGAAGATGTTTTTGTGAGCTCATATCCTTTCATAATAATCACACTATGAGATTTTTTCATTTTCTTGAAATACAGCACGACTCCCCGATTGTGGCGATCCGTTCATACTATCTCTTCGAGAGAATAGAGGAAGTAGCGACTCAACGCTATGGCTGCGTTCATACTTTGCGTCAGCGTCCACCAGCGACCAGCAGCATTTCGAAAGTACCGCAGCGCCATGAATAGGCAAGTACGGATATCGTCTCGAACGCCAGTATCCATCAGCGTATAGGAATGGAGAGTACAAGGGAGTAGGTGGTTAGCAAACTACTGAATTAGGCGTCGTGGAATTGCAGCGCGTGCAACCACACGCTAGATTGCTGAAGCACAGAATTATGCAATCTTGATGTACAGTGTAGATGTACCGTAGTTCTAAGTTCTTCACTCATTCCTAGGTTCATTCTCTCGAAATCTGAATGTCACCATGGCAGTGATGTGAGGCTGCGTTCATACTTTGGTCAGCATCCACCGGCGACCACCAGCGTCCGCCAGCGTTGATTAGCGACTAGGAAAGTATGGCTACAATCTAGCGGACGCCAGCGTCCACCATCTCACAGCAACGTAAACGCGGGCATTTTCGAACTGGAGCAAAACTGCGTGCGAAAACGCTGCTGTATGCCGGCCGCTGATAGGCGTTGGTGTTTGCGTAAATCGATATCTATAATCTCCTAGTCCTGAGCCGCTGGCGCACGCTCGAAACGTTGACGCTGGCCTGTAGCACCGCTGACGCCAAATGTGACGCTGGCCCCAAACGCTACAGGCCGCTCTCGAAAGGCGGGACGCTTTCATTAGAACATACCGTATATTTTAATGAACCCTAGATGCTTGAAGTAACGTGCGCTAAACACGGCCGCATTTTCGCGACGTCCTAATCCAGTAGTCTGCCGCCCTCTTAGTCGCATACTGCTCCACTCCTGGCGCTGCACGGTCGTCTGTAGCGACTGCAGACGATAGCTATACGTTTCTAAAGACTCTGCGTGACCGCTGGCTGCACTCGCCGCAAATTGTGAACGCACATATGGAAAATCTTTGCTGGCCACCCTTTTCCATGGGTACAGTTCTGTGTCTCTTGGCATTGCTCATGGTGTAATCAACTGGCAGACTGCTGGCTGCGAACCTTTGTGGCTTACTTTTGGGCTAAACCAATGTGATGTGAGCAAGTCAGCGCAGGGACTCCGTTGGCCAAGAGATCGCTATGCCCCAGCGGCGGTGTGCCTAATTTTGGACACTAAGAGAAAGGCTCGGGGGGGCGTACTTGGCTCAGACAACTTTTTAGTTCATTTTTCCTTAGTTTCACCGCCACGCTATTGAGTTGGAGACTAACTTTATCGGGTTAGGAGTCAGCGAATTAATTTGGGGCGGGCTGCGGTCGTCGTTTAGTAAAATTTTCCCCTATTGCAGCAGCAATGCTGCTCTACCGGGGCAGTAGTATCAAAACCGGTACAAGTAGCGTAATTTTCCCGCAGTCTTGCCACCATTAATTTCTCAACGCTATCACGCGGCGGACATGGTTAGAGCGTTGAACTTTGGCGATTGTCCGTCATAAAAAGAGACCTACCTCCTCCCGCTTGCCATGAATTACTGATAGCGGTTGGCCTCATTACTCTGGATGCAAGGGGAGGCCCCCGCAACAACACCCCACCCGCGGATAGGTCCGCCCACTCTGCTTCTTTTCAATCTCTTCCTCTCCCCCCTCTGGCAGTGTTGGTCAAAAGGCTTGATATGCAAAGACTGTTTCGAAAAATTTCTATTGCGTTTCAGATGCCTGTCTATCTTAATAGTTTAATTGATGTACTGCTCATGTAGTAGATGATGTTAAGTTTGTTGATCGACTGTTTTTTTTTGTACTTCTCTCTTCAGTGCTTACAACCTTGTCTGCTACAGGCCTCGTCTGTTTTGCAGTGCGATAGGGCTCAGATGGTTTGGTTCAGGGGTAGGAAGCTTTTTGTTGGTGATGGCCTGCGATAAATGTCAGTGCTGGTTTATTCGTGAGTAGGCGGTGGGGTTGCAACCCCCATTCTGTAATCATGACTTCAATTTTAGGCTGAAGAACGATCTCATTCGCTGTGCATTGCCTAATCGAAGCAGGGTCAGCCAGCACGTGCATAACAAAATCCCCCTCTCGTAACCTTTACCTCAGCCAGTCCAACCCCTGCCTCCTAAAAATCATGACCTTTTGGCTCCACCAATCTTAAGGCTCGTGAGATTCAGCTTATGAGACCCGAAAACGGGAACATCTTCATTCAACATGTTGTTAGACATTCAGGAAATCGGAATCGCCCAACGCGATTGAGGAGTGTTTGTTGAGGAGTTTTGAACCGCTTCTCTGTTGCATCATCTGCGCTGAGGTATTCCACAAAGCAGTGAAGTAAGTATAGTGGTTGTTTCAATTTCGTTTAGTTCACTACCGGTTTGGCGCTGTGCGGATCTTAGGGGCGTGCCCCACTGCTTGTTCTTTTTTTTGTTAAAGTCGAACAACAGATATTAATTTGGTTTTCCCCTAAGCTCATTGCTGCTGCGAAATGGTGTGAGTATGCAACCCAGTCAGGGAAGTCTACAGATCTTCTCAAGGTATTCTGTACAAGTAGCTGAACATCATTCGCTCTCTTCAGCGACCTGCACAAATGGTAGCCGGTGCAATGGGTGGGCCGTCTAATTGAGCGGGTGCAAGAACTGCGACTTCCGACGGCTGTAGCACACTTCTCACTCGCTGTGGAATGGCGAAAGTGGCGCAATATCTAAAGTTGCGGGCTGGACTACTTGCACAAAGAACGCCGACCACGAATTGCTCGAGCGCGCTGCTTGACTCTATCTGTCGCCCCGTTATCCGCAGAAAAGAAGACTTTGGTCACACTGCTGCATACCACCCCTTCTCTTCCCACCTACCGCCCAGCTACTCTTGCACGGAAATCAGTAGATCCTGAACATTATATGGAGGATTGCACTTGCATTATGGATTACAATTACAATTTATATTTTAGCGTCATCCCATGTGGTCATAATTTCAATTTGATCTGCCTTCTGCGGTCGGTGTGTTCGACGAAGACTACAATCTGCCCTCAGGTATGTTGCTTTTTTACGCCTCAAAGGTAAACAGAACCACAATGAGGAGGTGCATTTGCGTATTGCTAGAATTTGAACACTGGTTTTCACTGGTATATCTTCTACTGATGATATTGCAGTGTCGAGAACCGATGCACGACATTGGGCTGGCCTACACAATCAATTCAATTGTAGATGTGTTCCTTGAACTATATCCAGGTAAATTTTCATGGTGAACATTTGGCAGTTATATAATGAAACATGCGCTCAAAGTCGCGTTCATACCTAGCGTCTGAGGAAGTTCGGCAATTTGAGTCCTGAGCATTTGCGAGATTACGCGACGAGGTTTGTATAAGTATTGAATTGGCGATTAGGGAGATTGAGAGCTCTGGCAGTTCAGGGGACTCGCCGGTTCCAGCGATTGCATGTCAAAGGAGTAAATGGGTGTCGATCGGCGTCGGTAGCTAGCGATTGTTGAGATTCGGCGATCCAGCAATTTGGTATATTGAAGCAAGCCGCTTTGAGGAATTCGGCGAACTGGTTTTTAGGGATCGCTCGCCGAATCGCCGAATCTCTGGGATCACTAGCGACCGGCGCCGATCAGTACGCATCCACTCCTTTAGAGCGCAGTCATCGGGAACGGCGAGTCTTCCAAAAGGTCGCTCCGAAGAGGTGCTGTGTCGCTCAGTCTCCATATCGATACTTTCCTCGTCGCACAATCCTTTCGGGATCGCCGAATATCCTCAGTCGCCAAGTGTGAACGTATCCGATGCATTATTTTTCTGAGTGGATATCATTGGATGGGAGCAGGAATTGTGACGCGGAGTTTCGTTATCCTTCTTTTCGAATCCTTTCAGATAGAAGACGCCCTTCCGACGAGCTCGAGGTGCTAGATGTTATGCTCAGAGATGTCGTTAGTGAAGTGAGTAGGTTTTTTTCACGGCGCCCGAGAGCAATAGATCCGAATATCTGGAAACCAGTCCCACGCAGAAGCACCATCCAACACTAGAGAAGTCCCAGAGGATTTCAACACCGAGTTCTAGATACTCGAGGAGCCGGAAGAAGGATTGGATCCACACACTAGGCAGGCATATTTATACGAAAGCCGCAATACACCTCACCCCCTTCCTGCTCTAGTTATGAACCGAAGTAGATATGAACCATATCGCTATTTCCCAGAACCTTGGCAAGTAGCCGCAACAAGTCCGTATCGAAATACCATTGACCTTTCTCAATATGGAATGGGCGTTGCGCGTGACTAGTGCTAGCTCAGCTGCACGACATTCGGTAGTATCCGTCGCAACTGTGTTCTTTAGGAAAAATGGAATCTTTAAGAATATAACTTCCTAGGGAAATCGAACCAAATATCCGCTTAAGTTTACTCAGAACTGACCGTGATATGGGAATCGCTTCACTTTTTCATATTTGGTGCTTACAAAACTACTATTTAACGACACGCTATACGATTCCTCAGAGATCCGATCCATTTTGACCAGGTGCGCAACATAGAAAAATAGCGCTCTATCTACCCTAAAAGCATGCAGTTAGACAGAAGGCAGGGAATGAAGTTAGAGTCATTTTATAGCTAATGTAACTTGTGCCCTGTAGCCTTTCAATTCGTGATAGTCACGCCATAGGCACGCCTTACGCTGCAAGGCCAGCCGTACGCCTGATCATAGCCACGACTGGCCTTGTGGCGTGTGGCGTGGTTGTGCGATCGGATAGGAATAGCGGTGGAATGAACATCAAGCTGTCACAAGCCATTAGCTTCGGGGGGTGGCGACACACCTGTAGAGTAACTGACCTGGCCATATCACGCACGAAAAAGATCTAAATCTCAGGGAATCGTACAGTGTGTCTTCACGTGAATGTGAGAACCCGTTACAACCAAAACTTGTAAATAACATTATATAAACATTACATGACTTTGTAAATTACTACATTATCTTTGTAAATTATACATTATATAACTTTGTGAATTCCATCAAATTGGTTTGTTTGTAGCATAGTAAGTGTACAATTCATGACAAGTAAAGTTAACTGTGATACTTTTTTTTCCGCAGCATGTCTAGATGTCTCTGAGAAGCATCTGTTGCATGGTGTTTGCATCTGCCTTTTGATTTGCGTATATTTTTTTAACCTGACTTACTTTATTCACTGTCAGAGATGATTCAAATAAACATGTATATTAATTGATTTTGTGATCGTATCATTGCACTTGGCATGTTCAGCTATTTTACGGGTTTCAGAAGCAGACACAAATTTGTGAATGGGGGCCCCCCGATCTACGCTCCATTTATAGAATTCCGAGATGCGCTGAAGGGGCGTTGCAAGGGAAGTGACGTGCGCGGAACTCGCACCAGGATCTAAATGACTCATTGTGGAAGTGCTACACTTTGTAAATCCGACTAGTACGAAGGCTAATTGTTGGGATCGCCTCAATGTAATTACAGAGACCCGCACCCTCAGTTGAGTAATCAAATTGCAGTGAATCATAGAGTTACCGGTGAAGGTCCTAGGTAGCAGGTTCTGACTACTCTATCGTATGAGAAGGAAATTAGCTGGAAAATACATGAGTAAGGGGTAGCTTCTCTATTTCGGAGGAAAAACATGTATACTTGCTCGTCTCCCGTAATTACTTGGCGTGGGCTCTACACTATCAGCAAGAGTAGGCGTTCACGAGTTTGCACGGCGTGACGATTCGATAAACAAGGATTCACTGCTTGAGCTCGGCGTTGACCTACGCGGCAACACGTTTCGCAGCGGCAGTACCTTCGGGTCGGCTGCATTAAATATCAATCTCTTCCAGCCAGTCGTTTTTTAGGTCTATTTTCAGGTTTCTCTCATGTGATTCTGAAATGTCGATTTTTGACATATTGTTGCATCTAATTGATGCCTGGCTAAGTCTTTCCGGAATACTCGCGGTTTCGCTTATTGTCTTAAAGGGATTGATCATCGTAATCTTTGCGGTTAATCTATTTTCTTCGTTACAGGTTTAACCGGCAATTATCTTATAGATAAGGTCGTTTCGCTGCAGACGCTGAGGCGTGTCAGGGGGGCAGGTTGGCGCGGTGACAGCACACGTTGCACCAATTGTTTGCTCGCTTGCCCCCGTCGACAAACGGGTAGAAACGGGCTGGCGCCGCGTCAAACCAGCCTCGTGACATGCCCCAGTGTCTGCAGTAAACACGACTGTAATCAATACACAAGTGTGGGAAACATTGGCATTTATCGTCCATTGTTATTTTATTCGTATAAATCAAAATAGATCACGGAGTGATGAAATACAGCAACTCGGTCGTTTCGTTTGCTGCTTATCATTATCGTAAAGGAAAACATTCCCAGCCCGCCTGGTGGACGTCATTTCGTACTGACCATTTCTTTCGCACGCAATTATCTGAAATTGTGCTCTCAACATGTTGCAAGCCAGAAGACGAGCTTTTACTGGGCAGGGGACCCTGGAGAAGGAGAGCCACTCATCGTGCGTGAAAAGTTGCAATATGTAGGGTCGCAGTAGTCACAAAATGCATGCAGGCATGTGAGCGCAGGGAGAAAGTGAAAGAGACCGTTCGCAACACCGGCAGTTGCCCATTCCTCACCGAAGATTAGATAAGTATTGATCTCGCATTTCAGGCGATGGCTGCGGTGCGGTTGTGCAATCGTCAGTGTTGCGAACTATGAACGCTGCTTTATATCGCTAAATGAGAGGTCATTTTTAACATCAGAAAAGGGTTGTTCGTCGAATTAATGAGTGAAATCGTCAGAGAAAAGTTCCACTTACTCGCTTCACAGCAGCTGTAAAAGCTTCTTGGATTCCGAAGTCCTCTTTGGCTGATGCTCGCATAACTTCGACAAAACCATTATTACTTTTCATAGTCATCAAATCTTCTTCGCTTACATCATTTTCTAAGTCACACTGGAACAAGTGTTTTTTTGTCATAATGACGACCAAAAAAGAGATCGATGTTCATGCCACTGATACTTGATCTATGAGCGGTTATTTTTCCTCATGGTCAGAAATATAGGCGCCACGTAGTCCCCTTCATACTAGACGTTTTGGGAAAATTGGAGAATCCGCAGATAGTAAAGCATTGGTTCATCAGGTAGCGTCCAGACTTCGCGATGACGCCCGCCGACGCGCTGCAACGTGCGTCGGTGCGCTACCACTGCAAGGGCGCCCACACAGTTTGCTACCTACCCTCCTGTTTTTAGATTAGATTTTGTAGATTCTATTTTTTTTTGCAAATTGACGAGCAAATATCGAACAATACTTACCTTATTAACTACTAAAACTGATGGTATATGGTTTCCATCAGTCAATATGAGTTTCTGGTCCAGATCCGCTTTCCACCGACAAGCCCCTTCTTTGGTTTGATTGCTGAATTGAACGACTGATCGCAGTCTAGTTTCTGTGGCAGTCAACATAAAAAAACGTAGGTGCTAGTGTAGTTGGGAGGGGCAGAAGGGGGGGGGGTAGTACCAGGCGACTCCGGCTCTTCTGAGACTGAGCTTTGGGAAGGGATGCGAAACGGTCTCGGTGACAGGTGCAGACGAGCAGCCTTTGTCGCGCCTACCGTCCCCACTGCCCTTTCCAACTATACTAGCACCAAAAAACGGGCGTGCCAGGGAGGCTGGGACTGGAGCAATGTCAACCGGTTCTCCACGAACTTTGGAGTTTGGCAAGCGACCATCATTGTGGGAGATGTGGTTGATGCCGCGCCCACCCGCCCCTGACACGCCCCAGCACCCGGCGAACAAGGCTGTGCAGTCGTTGTTCCACTAGCACGAGTAGCTACTACACGCAAAAATGGGTTGCGTCCCGCTGTCCACGAATGACTTCTAACTATTAGCAAACAAAGCACAAACAAGCACAGCAAAAGTTGTAAAGTACAATGAGTTAGCACGCAATTTAGTCGTTCTCTCTTCTCGTTTTTGTGCGGCACGACCCAGTTTCCCATCAGCTTGCCGCTTCGGGCATTAATTGGGGAAAGGGGCTGGCACCGCACCAAAACGCTGTCGCGCTGACACGCCCCGACTGGTTTGACTGGTAACGACTGTATTTAGTGCCGTTTGTGATACTCGCATGATCCAGAAATGACTGAAGGACATACAACCGTTTACTTTTCTTATAACTCACTCATGGAGCTCCTTGGCAGGGAATAGAACTATTTATGAAATAAAATAATTTCAGAAAATAAGCTTACTTGGTGGCGTCCATGACGATAATGGCAGCATTTGCATCTTTGTAGTACACTCTGGTCATAACGCCATAACGGTCTTGCCCTAAAATATTGCGTTGGCTTATAAGCAACCGTGCATTTTACAAAATATGCCACTCCTCCAAATGACTCGAATACGACCCTCCACGTAACAATATAGTAAAAACAAATCAACAAAGGAAATCAGAACACTGCTGTAAGCTTAGTAGAATCTTCAACAAATGGTATTAAAAAGGGTTAAATGGAAAAAGAACTCGCACGAAAAGCAGGGTCAAGCATGCGCTGAGGAATCCTCAAGGGCTGGGGCCGTCATTGGCTCGCTGGGAAGGAGGAGTCGTATTGAGAGGGGTCAATGGCCAGCAAAGCTGCGATAACTTGAACGCGTAGATAGG